CAAATACTAAACATTTCTGTGATCGATGCAGAAAATACAGAGATAAAAACAAAACCTCGACTATCTAGAGATTTATACTCTAGTAAGGGAGAACAAAACTTGAAAAGAAATTAATTTAAATACTAAGCTACAACACTGGAAGCACGTGCAAAATACAGAGTATAGAGATGGCACAGACGAGGGATGACTTACCTTTATTGATTAAAGATATGGAACACTTTCAGGAGAGATTATGATGGGTGATAAGGAATAGACAGTCAGAAGATAAGCATCTTCTACTTCCTGTGTCTCAATTTCACCGTTTATAAATAGGGATAATTATATATCCGATTCACAGGGTGGTTATAAATATTAAATGTGATGTGACTATAACCTGTTTAGTGTAGTTTTGAAAAGATAGTAGAAATATAATAAATATTATCTTTTTTCCATTTCTTTTAAAGGACAACTGTTGTATCATTTATAATTTTTAATAGTTAACCTATTACAAAGCAGTAAGAAAGTGAATGAAAAATTTTCACAAATTGCAAAAGTAGTAGATTTCTTCTCTTGCTCAGATACTATAAGAAAATCTTCAAATTCATTGTACACTACAATTCCCCAAGGAAGACGAGTAGGTTCTGCATACTATCTCAAAATGTCGTAAGGCATTCTCATCAGAAAAAGGCATCCTTCTCACAAGCCTTCCACGACTGTTTTCCTCTTCTTTAAAACACACACAAACTATACAACTCGAACATTGTAACAGGTCTGCTTTCTTTTCCACTCAGTGGCAGTAAGTACAAGAGCAGAATAGAAAACCCTGAAAAGTAAAATCAAATCCCAAGTGCTTTACGCATCTTTCTAAGCCTCTGTGGAGAATTCTAAAGATTGACTCTTGTGCTATTCACACTGCTTCACCAACTGCCCCGTCAGGGCTCCACACTCGGACCCTATTTGCCGTCCTTATCCCTGAATGTCCCTTGCTATCAAGTAAGTCTTTATTTCTCTTTGTAAAGTGATGGCAGAGACTTGGGAAGATGAAGAATCTTTTCCCACTGAGCTTCAAATAACTCACTTCTAAAGCACCTCCATAATTCTCACTGTAGCCATGAGGTTGTGAAGTCTCATTATATCTGACCTTGGTCTTTCTCAGCTGCCATCACCCATGAAGGAAAAAAAGGTCAGTGGTTGACATTCTTTCACTCAACCAACATTTACTGAGCACTTACTTGCCTGGTACCAGGTATGGTGCTGGCCTGTAGGGATATATCAATGTTTTATTCACTAAAGAAATAACAAGATGAATATAATCTGGCTTTATTCATTTCAATATCCTTATTCCATTCTTTTTGAAAAGTGGTCTGCAAAAAATGGTGAAAACATATTTAGAAAACTTTATATTTTATCAGGCTTCTTTACCGCTGCAACCCTTAAAGTCACCCTGGGCTTCGTAATACATAATCCAGAGCAGCTTTATAATGTGGCTCCAGCCTGTGTCAGAATATCATGAGCTAAAGTTCAGCATGAGACCATTTCTATTATTAGTGAAAGGTGTGTCTACAATTTATTCCATTTAGCTTACCCTAAAAGCATAAACTGCCCACTTGAGGTGTGAATGCACCTTGTATTTAAAGATTTGTGGAGATTGTTTGCAATAGATCTTGCAAATTACACTCTCCACATCTCAAAGGGACTTTATTTTGCAAGGGTGTTCAATGACTCCTGTTAGATCTGTTCTAAATACACATAAACATAAACAAGACTACACGGTTTATAACAACCTTACCCCTTTACACAGTACTTAAACAGTAGTGGGTATAGTATGGTAACTGAGTGAAATTCACCAGACTAGGTATGATAAGGGAGGATCAAGCCTAAGTTATTTTTCACAACTCTCCTGAATCTGACAGTGATTCAACTTGGGATATTCAGAAGAGCTGTAGAAAAACTTAAGCGTGGCTTGAAATGTCAGCATGTAAGGCATCAGATGTAAGGAGTTAGGTGATGGCCACTGAGGGTATCTGGAGTTGGGCCAACCTATAGAACTTGGAGATACTGAAGTAATACCTGGAAAGCCAAGTGCAAGGCCTGGTCTCCAGGAAAGGGGTTAGCAGGTTTACTATGGTACCAGGTCCACAGCAGACCAGGATCCTCTCTCTGTGGGGACTGGAGGGAGAACCAGGGGCCCAGACAGCAGCCAGTCTAGCCCCACAGTCACACCTGATAGTAGACAGATCACTGCCATGTCCCGGGTCTCCTGAAAGTGCCCAATTTTGCTTATAAACATGCAAAGGAAGCATCTGGTGTGTGATCTGCAGGCTGTGTCTAGATGCTGGATTTTAGTAGAGAAAACCACATACTTGCTACCAGGCCAGATTCTTAGTGGTCCAGGCATAAGTCAGGGCAGAAGCAACAGAGTACATGCTGTTGCTGTACAGGCTGACACCAGCATAGATTAGCATTTTATAGATGGGATGAGAGAGGCTCAGATAAGTTGTAGAGCTTTCCCAGTTCATGGAACAAGGAAGAGGTCCAGCCACTATTTGAAGCTTACTCCCTCACTTGTTACGTAAATTAGCCTATTATTTGTGCACACCTATGCGCATGTATTATGTGAATATACCTACTTCAGCAGGAAACATGCACTGTTTAAATGATTCAGTGAATGAATATGTGATGTAAGGTAGAATATACCCTGTTTGCAAATAAGGTTAGATATACAATCACTCATTTTATAAAGACAGGAAAGGTACCTGCTGTCATGGATCTTGCATTCTTATGAGGGGAAGAAGTAATACTCAAGATTTTAAATAGTTGAACAGGACTGTTTCAAATAATATGAGTGCTGTGAAGATGTAAGATAAAATACTGAGGTAAGAATTTTGCCTTTATCTTTATACAAAGGCAACAGTGACTGAATGCCAATTAATGAGGCATGAAGGGAACTAATTCTGCCTTCTCCAGCAACAGGGTGCCTACCATTCATTCTCCTTCCCCTAATCACATTTTCTGGTTTGGTGGCCACATCATGTACACTTTCTGTTATTTTCCTAAAATATATCAATAATGTTTAATTTGAGAGAGTCAGAACCAAACATGTGAGGGAGGAACAGCCCAGTGAGCTTTGGGGTCCAGGCTGAACCTTCCTCTTCAGAGAACCAGGCTATCCAATGGCTGGCCTACAGACTGTGCACAGTCACTACTCAATACAAATTCCTTTTCTCAGCATCAAAAGAACAAGGAAAAACAGAATATTCTTCTTTTGGATATTTCCACAGCTATTGGCCTGGCACCAAGCACAGACTAGGTTCTGGATTACATCAGAAGTTCAAATTCACAGTTTTCTTTATCAGCTCCTTGCCCATATCAGCTTAAGCCCAATATGTCCCAGGAATAACTGGAAGGTTATTGCATATAAAGTTGAGAGGACTATTGAAAGCAGAAATATGATTTATAGAAAAGGAAATATTTTCTACAATATTCTAGTTTCTGTTCTAATGAATGAAAGAACACAGAAATTCAACCTTTAATTCTAGCCTGAGCATCCACATTGATGAGCTGTTAATCTCGCTGTGCCTCTGACTTCCTGTTTGTAAACAGAGGGATGCCTGACTGTTTTCAGGCTCCCAAGTAATTTCACGTTCATGTATATTCACATACATAAAATACATAACACAATGCTTGGCACGTAGTATACACTCAATAAATATTTTTTTCTCCTCTGAACAGAGTTCTGGCTTTAATTTCAAACAAGTCACAAACTGAAACCATAAAGATGAAAATAAAGAATGTAAAATTTGAAAATGTGCAAAGTACTGAAAGCACAAGAACCATTAATTGTCAGTGATGGTTCTCATTAAGCTAGCAGCATATGTTGCTATTATAAGGATGTTTGTCATGAGCTCCTGAGAGGTCTATTAACAATAAAATCCTATTATTCCAGATGTTTCACATCCATGTAATACACCCACAATAATTAATTTCATATGGGCTAAATTCATAAATCTAGAAAACTAGAAAGACATGTTACTCACCACAGAAGGCATCTTATATACTATTTATAATCAGACTGAAATGCTAAAAGATGCCATTAATTACAGGGAAACCCACTATCATTTTTCTTTATCTCTAGAATGGACTTTGAATTTGAAAATACTCCATTACCATTATAAATGCAGCATCTGAGCAATAAAGGGAAGAAGAACCTTGCTGCCACATCTGCTGCTGCAGCCTCCTGGTGGCTATGGCTCAGGATTACCACTGCCGTACTTTCCTGCCTCAGCTGGACCCTGCTTTGTGCCAGAACTGTGCTAGGTGCTTCATGTGTATCATGACTTTTCTTCACAATATCCTTGTTAAATAGTTTTCCCTTTATAAAGATAGAGGCTCAAGGAAGTGAAGTAAGTGATCCAAGGTCACAACTCTTAGATGATAAAGTTAGGACTTAAGCTCTGATCTCTAGCAACATTTAACCTGTCTCAGTATTCCTAAGCTGCCTCTCTAAGGTACTAATAAAAGCTTTCATTTATTGTGTGCCTGACCCAGCCAGCCAGATAGCCTGAGATTGAAGAAAGGGGAAAAAGAAAACAGAAAGGGGACTCTGCCACACAAAGTCCAAAGGTCAACTACCGCCACAGCCACTCAGTGTCAGAATACCCTTCACAGAGGCTTTACACATAACTAGATGGCTACCCGGCGTTCATTAAACCTGCACCTCTTGAAGGCGGAGATTCAACTTCTTTTATATTCTGCACCTGTTGTGCACTCTGGTATGTTGAGTCAATGTTATTTATTTTTAAGAGTCTAGCTTTTTAAAATTTTTTCCCCTTTTACACAAAACAAAATAGAAGGAACAATAGAGGATTAAAACTGCAAAAGTAGTCAATCAGTAGAACATGTATACACAAAAAAATCCAGAAAGGAAGACAGCCTTTTTTACAATATAAGAATGGTAACATTAAGGTAGTTTTCTTATTAAATATTTTTTAAAAAATTAAACATATGCTACAATGGGCACCACTGTCTACAGGAGTATTAAAAAGGAGAAAGCAACACTTACTTTATAGGGACAGATATATCATAAGATACAACATCAGTGCAATAAATTCACAAAATTAAATTAGTGCTTGTTAATCCATTTAAGAATTGTTCCCAAGTCATTCACAGTTTTGGCCCTCAGACATTCATTCCTACAGATTTCAACTACTCTAAATTTCTAGCTATCGAGAAGTTACGAATGATTATAAAAAGCTTTCCAAGGAGTTAACAAAATCTTTGTAGACCAGAGGCCAACTATCATCACCTCAAGTCTGCTCTCACCAATAGCTCTTGTATTTTCAGGGAGAAATCTCTAAGAAAAAAGTCAGACAATAGGGTAGTCACTATCTCCCATGTCAAACCTAGGGAACTAAAATGGCCAGTATTACCACAAAATGAGAATTTTGAGGTTTACATTAAAAGGCTTATTCTGGTCTCAAAAATTAGTCAGATAAGATTATCTTCTACTGAAATGAATCTTGACTAAACATGGAAGACTGCTGTCCTTTACTGCTGGTCTTAGAGTAAAGGATAGACAGGCATCTTAATGTACTGAATACTATAGCTAAAGTCAACTGGAAACCTGAAATTAAAAGTATGCTAGAAATCCTAAATGCAATCTTTTGGAAGTCTGCCATTAAAAAGACTAAGGATTTACTAACTTCAAGTCTAAGTGTAAAGGGACAAAAGCTTAAGCCTGTCAGACATTCTTTTTTTTGGACAAAAAGATCAAAGTTTCCTACAAATTGCTAAACTTCACAAAAGGGAGAAACCTACACATACTAGCACATGGAATCAGTTTCATTTTATTCCATGGAGATTCTTCTTCCACGGGAAAGAAACAGAATGAGGAATGAATCTTCATTGGTCTCTTCATCAGAAGTGGTAAACTTGGTCTCTATAATCATGAAGTCTGATAGTTTTTTAAGCAGACTGTAAAAGCAGAGAGTAGAACCAGCTTCCTGTAGCTACAGACCACTACCTTGTATCTAGATAAAGCAGAGGAACCTGAACAATTATCTAAAGTCATTTGAACTGTTCTAAAGGGCAAGGTTCACCACTATAAAAAGAAATTGTCTAAAAGCAAGAATTCAATTAACCCTGGCTAAGAAAAATCAAAACAAGGCCTACACGCTAATGAGTTGTTCATTAGCCAACTGCTAAGAATGCACTCAACTATATGTGACATGAAGAGTCTATGCACAAAGACTTACTTGGCGAGTCTGAGTTTCTACTAACTAAGGGCAGAGTGAGGGAGAGTAAAGAGCTACACCTGTAATGTTTTAGTATCCAGATAGTATAGCAGACACCGTTGGTAGGGTCAATGGGTGTTTCATTAATCACACAATAAAGCAGATGAATTATTCATTTTTTTCTTTTTGTTTGAGAATTTTGTTCATCTTCCTTTTGGCCATTCAATGTAAGGACTCCAGGTTGGTATAGTCCAGGAAGCAACAGTAAGGAAGTCATCATCAGATAGGTGAGAAGCAGGTTGTAGACTTGCTGTCCCACCCAAGCAACCGCAGCAAGGGAAATGATCATGGTTGTGAAGGACATCTTAGGTTTTCCTTTCTCTAGTGTGAAGAGGCGTTTCCACCAACCCACAGCTCTGGGTTGAGTTTTTACTAGATTGCCGCAAATTTCATGGAATCTTTGCTGTTGCTCAGCTGTCCATTTATTGGAGCCCAAACTTCTAGGCGCCAGAATGGGAACAAGGTAGTCAGCCAAGTACAAAAACATAACAAAACAGGAAACAGCGGACATAACAGATAGATCTAGACAGTAGAAAATCAGAAACACTGAAGAAATCACACCTGTGATGGCAGGTTGAAACCAGGCTCTTTAGTCATCAGCCATCAGCATCACTTCTCCCCATCCTTGAAGCTGTTCTTCCAGACTTGCAGTTTCTGAAGCCAGCAGGTAGGTGCTGCGATTATCTCCCTCTGCCATCATCTCTGAGACACCATCTCCATGAGCACAGGCTGCCTTCTCAGTGAACCCTCCTACTGAAACCACACAGTGACCACAGCACCAGAGTCAATGTTTATTGAATGACAATATATCACATGGCTGAAGAGTGTGTAAATTTGGGCTATAGAAGAATAGTCATTAAGCAGGTAAGATTTCAAGTTTATGATGTTGAAGATTAAATGTGAGTAAATATAACATCTAGAAGAAATTACTTACTGCTTTCAAACTCAAGGCGAGAACCCAATGAAACAGAAATGGTATCACATAAATAATAGCTATGTTAATAACTAACATTTATTGAGCACTAGCTATGTGTCAATCACCATACCAAGAACTTTGAATTATAAACACAACTAATCCTCATAACAACTCTATGAGATACATGGTATTATCCCCAAACTCAGGGAATGTACATAAAAAAGGACATACAGCTAGTAAAATACAGAGCCGTGGTTCGCACAAAGGCTGTCTGGCCCCAGAGCGTGCTGGCCCCCAGCAGACTTAAAACTCCTTGGGATTACAAGCTAAGCTAATGGGATACCATGGAACTGTGAGATAACTTATCCATTTGTAATTTGCCTATTAAATACTTTTACACCATGGGAAAACTAGCAAGAAAGCTAAACTATTTTTGCTGGTTGGTTTGTTTGCATGGCTGTAGAAATCAGGAAATATCAGGATGAAGAAGACATGCTCTAACAAGCTGGAGGGGCTAGATACCAAACAACCGAGCATGTGACGTGTGCTATCACCTTTCATCTTCTCCTGTACTATGGTGGGTGGCAGTGTGATACAGTGGTTTCAGAGCTTTGGCTTTCAAGTCAAACAGAGCCAAGTTCAAGTCCACCTCTGATCCTCACTAGCCGAGTGACCTGGACAGGACAAAGACCTTCAAATCCCTCACATATGAAATGTGCCTAGTTATATCTATTTACATCAGCATTGGAAAATTTAAACAAGATAATACATGCAAATTATTAGTACAATGCCTGTAATATATTTAAATGTGCATATAAATATTATTGCTATTAGTTCCTCTTCTACAGATGTGAAATAAGGTCTAAGATATCAACGAGATGCTCAATAAAGTCTGTGGAATAAACAAAGGCAGACATAAATGAATAAATAAATAAGAGAAAGCCACAAGCTCTCCTTGGTCTTGTTTCTAAGCAATAGCAGCAAAGAGGGAATTCCTATTCTTCTAGCAGTTTCAGAAAAAAAAGCCCATTTATTATGTTACAAAGTATAAGCCCTCCCTCCCCCAGTGGTCCTATGTCCAGTGCTAGCACTAACCATTTGTATGCTCTGTGTGGCATTGCCGTCTGCTGCACTTCTGGCCAGGACTAAAGAGTACTTCATGTTATATAACAGAAAGTCAACTGAATAAAATAAAGTAAGCAAATGATCAAGGAGCCCATATTCATCTTTCAGGTTGATAACATTTTTGCCAAACAGGCTTCTAGTAGTTATCATTATTAAGATTTCTATTTATATGACTTTACACATGTTGGTAAGGCTTTTCGTGTGTATTACCTGATGCAATTTTCACAATCATGCTGTTGGTTGAGTTGCTGGGATACTGATGTAAAGACTGAGGCTTGAATCATTTGCATGAATTGATGTAAATCCCGTAACCATAAGGCCAGAGAAAGAATTTCATCAAATTTCATTTCTCACTTAAAACTCTGCCACAATGTTTTACTGCTCTGAGTGAAATCCAATTTTCTTTCCATGAATACAGCCTGGGTCCTGCAAACTTGTCTGACCTCATTTCAGGCAGTTTCTTTTCCTTCCTTTCTTCCTTCCTTCCTTCCCTCCTTCTCTCCTTCCCTCCTTCCTTTCTTTCTCTCTCTTTCTTTCTTTCTTTCTTTTTTCAGATACAGTTTTGCTCTGTCACTCAGGTTGGAGTGCAGGGGTGCTATCTTGGCTCACTGCAATCTCTGCCTCCTGGGTTCAAGTGATTCTTTTCCCTGAGCCTCCCAAGTAGCTGGGATTACAGGCAACCACTGCCACACCTGGATAATTTTTTTTTTTTTTTGTATTCTTAGTAGAGATGGGGTTTCACCATGTTGGCCAGCTGGTCTCAAACTCCTCACCTCAAGAGATCCACCTGCCTCAGCTTCCCCAAAGTACTGAGATTACAGACATAAGCTGCCATGCCCATCCCTCTGTCTCTTGCTCATTATGCTCCCACAACATGGGCTTTCCATTAAAGGAAGGTTCTCAGCTCCTTCCTGCATCAGGCCCTGTACATGGTCTAAGGACACAGAGGCATCCAATCAGCAGAGCCCTGAGCAGAGCATATCTGGGAGGCACATCTGCAGGTAGTGCGGCATAGGCTCCATGCCTATAGGTAGACTTCTGCTCCAGAATCCTATTGAGGTTTCTTTAGTTTCAAAACTTAGTGTAATTGGGGAATATTAAGTCAATCATCATCTAAGAAGTAACTACAGGACAAAAAAAAGCATGATGATGATTTCATTTGATAATTGTGGTACATATTTAGGGAAGGCAACTAACATTATTCAGCATTTGCTATGTGACGTCTTCTTAAGTTTATATAAGGATTATCATAGAGGAAAACAGATTTGATGCAATAAAAATAACTTGTCCAAGGATACAGTTTCTAAGTGGCAAGTTGGTATTGAAACCTAAGTTTATTGGGTTCTACTACACACAACATTTCACTGAAAGGATGACTTTATACTATGTTACAAGAAATACTCAACTAGGGCTGTTTTAATTCCCTCACAAAGGACAGTATTGGTTCAAGATATAGGAATGGTGCTAATTGTGAAAGGGGAGTCTGCAGGCTCTGTGTCTGGAGAACAAAGCTGAGAGGAATGGGAGCTATAGGGGCCTGACAGGAAATTATTTTAGAGAATACATTATTTATAAGATAAAATCATGGAAAAATGGTGTTTGAGTCAAATTGCATAACTCTACTGGCTCTAACTTATTACACATTAACAAGACATTTAATAAAAAGTGTTACCTCTCTTGAATTCAACTGTTTCAATCATTGAAAACAAACAGCACAATTAAATTACATCTGAAAGACTTGTCATCCCAAGATAATTCATGATGGATTTTCAAGGGTGTTATGCTAAGAAAATCTCACCAAGAAAGGTATATGTTTCTGAAAAACAATGTGAAACAGATAATATCTAGGCTTCAGAATCAAGAAGTCTGGGGATCAAGACTCATCTCATCCATTTGTTAAGTAATCATAGAACATTTCACAATCGAATTTTTATTGTACTAACTAAAAACTAGCAAATGAGTGAAATCTTAATACATATTTACAGGGCTACTGTTAAAATAAAAAACTGCATTTAAATATTTTATATCAAAATGTTGAAAGTTTGCATACTTATGCATATTATAAAGCAAATAAATGAGTGAATAGGCCTATGCTACTTTGAGATTATTTAAAATAATCTGACCAATGTACACTTATTGTTTTTTGGTTTTTTTTTTCTGGAGTGCAGTGGTGTGATCTCAGCTCACTGCAACCTCTGCCTCCAGGGTTCAAGTGATTCTCCTGCCTCAGCCTCCCAAATGGCTAGAACTTCAGGCATGCACCACCATGCCTGGCTAATTTCTGTATTTTTAGTAGAGATGGTGTTTTGTCATGTTGGCCAGGCTGGTCCCAAACTCCTGACCTCTGGTGATTCGCCTGCCTCAGCCTCCAAAAGTGCTGGGATTGCAGGTGTGAGCAACTGCGCCCTGCGGTGTTTTCACTTCAGAACTAATTAATTTATTACTCACATTAATTCTAATTGTACTTTAAATTGCTAGAGCATAGGATCACTATTGTTTAGTGCTAATGGTCTTTTAAAATTACTGGAAAACAACAACATAATAATAAATCTAGGCTTACAAAACCTATCACCTGTGCTTATATAATCTCTTTTAGTAGACACTTGTATGGTTAAAATCACCAAACCTTTTATTTTATACTTTTATTATACTAAACAAATTCTCTTTTGCCTCATTTTTTTTCATTTGGAACTCAAGTTTCCATTATCTTCATGATGCCTTTAGAAATGTGAAAACTTTATTTATATGCTGATTTTTAAGATATCATAAAATTGCATTTCTCACTTATGCCCACTTCAAATGAGATATTTTACTTGATTGACTCAATGATTTTTTTAAAAGGCCTTTTGAGTTAAAAAGCAGCCAAAGACTGAATGTGATTTTACCAATCTGTGACTCAGGTTCCCAAACTGAATCTGATGATATCCAGTAACAACAAAGTCTTACGCCGTAGAGTAAATATCTGTAATGTGAATGTGTGTGGGTTTGTTTGTGGATAGGATCACAAGTATCTAGAATCTGAGCCAATATTCCCCATCTTTTGCACACAGAACAGACATTGCTGGTCGATTGCCAATATTCCCCTAAACCTACTTTTCAACTTCTTGACACAAAACTTGGGTCATAAATTGGTCATCACTACCTTATGAAATAAAATATATCTTTATCTACCCACATAGTCTTATAGATATAATACTTTATACTAGTGGAAAAGAGAAAGAATTATAAGTGGATGATGTAACTATTCTGAAACAACTGGATACCTAGATTGATGATAAGAGAATGAGCCAATGTTACTGATATAAAAGTCCATCATTATTTAATCAGAAAGCTTAATTTTGTATGAGAACCTGGTGGTAGTTTTAGAATGCATGCCTAGAACCCTTGCCTTCCAAGAAGCCCTTCTTAAACTATGTGCACATGAATACAAATACCTTGAATATATATTATGAAGAAAATGTTGCTATGATTCTGGGGATTGTTCTACTGAAGATCTGTGTTTGGCTCTGGGTATTAATTAGCATATTCTATACAATGAAATACTTTCTCTTCTTATGTGGTATCCTGGAAAAAAGTCTTAATACCCACATCAAGCTAATATATATATATATATATATATATGCTATATACCAATCCAGGGATACCTTGAACTCCAGAATTACCTGAATGTAAGATTTTCATATAAAAAGGTATGGCCAATTTTACATTCATCTCTGTGTAAGGAGATGCTATATT